CAGAGTCATGACTCTTCTCCTTAGGTCCCTAGAATCCTAGGGCTGGAAGGGACCTTAGAGGTCTTCTAATCCAGGGGTCTCCAACCCCCAGTCCGTGGACCGGTACCGGGCCACGGCATGCCAGCAACCGGTCCGCACAAACAAGCAAAGCCCCATCCACAGGATGCAGGCAGCACACAAAACCACACACTCTCCGGTCCATGGAAAAACTTCTCTCCACGGAACTGGTCCCTGGTGCCCAAAAAGTTGAGGACCTGTGTTCTAATCCAATCCTGTGCCCAAGGCAGGAGATTTTATAGCATCCTTGAAAATTGGTTGTCTAGTCTATTCTTGAAAATGTCCAGTGATGGAACACCCATAACTCCAGGAGGCAAGCTGTTCCATTGATTAATTGTTCTCACGGTCAGGAAATTTCTCTATAGTTCTAGGTGAGATCTCTCTTTAGTGAGCTTTCATCCATTGCTTCTTGTCCTGCAGTCTGGTACTATGAAAAATTTCTCCATGACAACATTCAAGTCGTCAAGATCTTTCTGAATAATGAGTCTGTCTTCCAAAGTGTTAGCAATTCTTCCCAGCTTAGGGTCATCTGTAAATTTGATGAGTTCCCCTTCTATCCCCTCATCTAGATAATATATGAAGAAGTTGAAGAGCATGGGTCGAAGACAGAACCTTTGAATCTTAATATTTTTTATTAGTTTATAATATATAATACAAAAGTACTGAAGAAAATAGTAGGAAAATAGAGGACGAAAAAGGGAAGGGAAAAGTGTGGGACAAGGGGGAAAAAAAGAAAGACTCCCTTTGGTGCAGTAGAATAAGATAGTAACATCAAACCTCAACTTTTTACTTTTACATAATAATATAAGCTAGCCATTTCTATAGAAACAAATCTATTAATCGGTAAAACCCAAAATCAAAGTTCTGCCCAAGACGGAACCTTGAGGTACCCACTGCTTACTTCCCTCCATAATCTACTACGATTCCTCATGTCTATAGCTATTTACCTCATCATAAGTGTTGGATACTGTGGTTTGCTATTGCCTACCTGGTGGGTTTACTGAAGGCAGCTGTTCATCTGATCATAAAATTCGTATAATTGTTATATCCAGGTTGCCGTGTACTAGGATAAGTGATGCCCATAAAGTCATAAACTCTCAGGACCTCAAATAATGCTCATCAGGCAAATGTGGGAAAGGGGTAGAACATTTCTAGAAGGATATGCTGCTCTGGCAATATAGATACAAAACATTTCTGTTTTGCAATTTCCTGGATTTGGACTAATTGCTGTAGTGTTTGATTCATCGTTTGGTTCAAATGTTCTACCTGGGCCACCATATAATAATGATGTTGGGCCATAGAGGTAAAGTCTTAATAACCTTTTCTGTGGACGGTGATGCTGCAAAGGATCATCATTGTCTGGGTGTAGAAACTGGAACTGTTTTTTTTCCTTCTGTAAAAAAGGGAGTAATGAGTTAATGAAATTGCTGTCAAACCCCTCAGTAGATACTAGAACTGGAAGCAACACAGGAAACAATTCAAGGACACAAAATTCTGATAAATAGGTTTATTTCAAGAACTAAAGAAGCTGTCAAGAAATGACTGTAAAATAATTCCAGTGACTGCTCATGTAACAATTCAAGCCCTAACTATAGTGAAATCAAGGATATTATTCTTGTGGCTTTTTCTTTATACTGCCATAGGCGTATAGTACAGACCACCCAACCAAGTAGATGAAATAGATGAACTTTTTGCTAATCAGTTAACTAAGATATGCAGGAAACCCACTACAATCATAATGGGGGACTTTAACTATACTGGCATATACTGGGAGATGAACTCTGTGCCAAGTGGGAGATCAAGTAGATTCCAAAAGGTAGAGGAAGGAACCAAAGGGTCAGCTGCACTGGACTTAACTCTTACCAACAGGGATGAAGTCATAGAAGGGTTTGAGGTTGTGGGAACTTTGAGGGAGAGTGACCATGTCATCTTGGAACTCAACATAATGTAGGCACAAGTAGTTGAACGAAGTCAAATGAGTGTCTCAGATTTTAAGAGAGCTGACTTGAACATCTTAGAGAGAACTACGTAATGTGGAGTAATGTAAATACAGTCAAATTGTACCGTAGCAGTTTACACCAGGGGCCTGCAACCTTGACAACTTTAAGACTTGTGGACTTCACCTCCAGGGCCCAGCATCCCCCAGCTTACCTTTCTGTTTTTGCAGCTTTGGGGAGGGGCACCCAGCCTAGCCAAGCTCAGCTTTCCTGCAGAGACAACCTGCAAGCAGGTGCTGCTCTCATGATCCTGTAGGGGGCTTGGTTTTAAGGAGGCTCCTTAAAAATGGTGCCCCCTATGGGATCACGAGAATGGCACCTGCTTGCAGAAATGTTTGTAGGCCCAAGGCCTGCAGGGACACAAGGGATGGGAAAGGGAACATGGGATGCCTCGGGGGTGGAGGAGGCCAGGGCAGGCAAGGCTTGACCTGTGTTGGACCTCCCAGGGTCTCCCCTACCCCTGAGGGACCCTGTGTTCTGCTTAATGATCCTCGTGGTTGTTTAATGACAGCATTGGAGAGAGATATGGGGGTCAGTAAGCAAGGTAATAACATGGGCACTTTGCTTAACAATCATCATGACTTGCAACTGTAATGGGCAGGGTCTATTACTATCATAATTCAAGGTCTATCTGTGGTCTAATTTGAGGTCTACCTGAAAACAGCTGTTTTCTAGATGTCACCTAGTTCATCCTCTTTCTTTCAAAATATGGGCTTTTTTGTCAGTACAGGAAGAGAAAAAAAATCTGGATTAAAAGAACATAAAGTATTTACATAGCCAAAACAATGTGCTGAACTATCCATTTTTTGCTAGAATTCAGCAGATTTGTCATTAAGAAAAATTTGTCATTAAGAAAAATATTTGTCATTAAGAAAAATATTTGTCATTAAGAAAAAGATTTGTCATTAAGAAAAATATTGCTAAAAATGCTTACATCCAGATGTAATGTGTTTTCCTTGAGTCCCTGCGCTAGTCCATTAGTATGTTAATATAATTTGCTTTCTCTTGAAAGCTGATCTCTACCTGGGTCAGGAGAACAGCAAGTGGCATAGTCTAGAGTCTAGACAACTGCAGTGTGGGACAATATAAGGAAGTAAATGATGGATTTCTTGACAGCTGAAAAGATATCCACCAGTTGCTGGCTTTAACATGGACTAGGGATGGGGAAACAGGAAGGCTTTAATTGATGGCCAAGCAAGAGGTTAACCATCTGTTAGGACATATACTGCTTGTTCTGTGAACTTGGTAGAACTTGTGTCGCTGACCCACATAGAAAAAAATTGCCCCAGCTACACATATTACGGAGTAACCTACCTGCCAGCACATTTATTTTCACATAGAATAGATCAACTAGGTAGGTCATTTTGTAGAAGTCCTGGTCTACCGTTGTTTCCAGCAGCCTGGGATCAGGCCAGTCTAACAGTCAGGATCCAAATGGCCACAGAGGAAAGTCATTGATGACCAGAGAGCATCAGGATTGCCTGCTGAACGCAGAAACATAGAGGTGAGGAAGACCCCAGTAGCTGGCTGTGGCTATAGACTAGCATCACACAGAATTGTCTTGCAAGAGTGGCAGCAACAGCCCGGTTGGTCCAATGGCGAAGGGACTGGACTAGTAGCCAAGAGACCCAGGTTTAGTCCCCCTCCCGCCCCCACCTCAGCCATGGAAGCTCCTTGGGAGGCTTTGGGGCAGCTCTCTCTCAACCCAACTTAACTCATGGCGGGAGTGGGGTGGGATGGTATTCGTTGTGTGCCATCTTGAGCTTCTCAGCAAAAGACAGGATAGAACAATGCATATTTCTGCTGAAATTAGAGAAAAAATGTAGATTTGCTGAATGGAAAGTCATGTCTGTCTCTTTTCAAACGTCGGTGGCCTGGCTCTCTCCCCGTGGGACTAGGAAATGACTTGCAAACAATGGTACAGTTCTTTCACAAAAGATGATGACATTAAACAAAGTCAGGATTTTTGTTTTTGCTTTGTGTTGTATGTCAAGTCTCGTGGCTGTGAAACTCTTTTATATAATTTTTGAGTTGAGTTTTAACTTTTTACAATCCAGCCTTGCTTCTCATTTCTGTTCTGTAGCCGCTTGGAGGCCTGGTCACTAAGCGAGCAACTTCATGTACTCATGTGGAGACTTAAGCAGTGCTGACTGTCTTTCTCCCAATAACTTCCTCTTAAAGTAAACTCCAGTGTCCCCACAAATAGCTCAGCCTGACATACCTGGGCTTGGAAAGGATGGCTTCCTACACAGGATTCATGAGTTTCAAGGTTTCTTCTTTTAGAAATTGAGAATTGTAGTTGAAGGTAGATTATTTTCCACCAATCTATCTTATCTTATTAACAGTTCAGCAAAGTTGTGCAAGGCAATGTACAATTAAGGTTGTCCCTGACTACAGGTAATCCTCGACTTATGACCACAATCCAGCCCAAAATCTATGTTTGCTAAGCAAGACAGTTGTTAACTGAATTTTGCCCCATTTTATGACTTTTCTTGCCACAGTTGTGAAGTGAATCACTGCAGCTTTTAAATTAGTAACATGGTTGTTAAGTGAATCTGGCTTCCTCATTGACTTTGCTTGTCAGAAGTTTGCAAAAGCGGATCCTATGCTGCTGGGACACCGTAACCGTCATAAATACGAGTCAGTTTTTGATCACATGACTATGCAGATGCTGCAATGGTCATAAGAGTGAAAAATGGTCCTAAGTCACTTTTTTCAGTGCTGTTGTAACTCTGAACAGTCACTAATAGATCTACTGCAGGGGTAGGCAACCTTGGCTCTTTTATAACTTGTGGACTTCAACTCCCAGAATTCCTGAGCTAGCCTACCCCTGATCTAGTGTAATTCGAGGACTATCTGTATATCTCAACAGATGCCGTTCAGATTCTTTGGGGGGCCGTTTTGCTAACGTATCACTGCCTCTGGACTCTTGTTCCTTCCCTGTAGGCCGTCTACAAGGCTTGGCTGTGCTCTGAGTATTTCGATGTGACACAACTACAGTGCCAGCACCGGATTCCATGCAAGCAATACTGCCTGGAGGTGGAGACTAGGTGCCCCTTTGTGTTGCCTGACAACGATGAATTGGTCTATGGAGGGTTGCCTGGCTTCCTCTGTACGGGTAAGGCTTGCAGGGGGACTTGGAAGTGTCCCAGGAACGAGCGCACAAGGATCTCCCTTTGCCTTGCTGGATTAGCACAAACGTCCTGCTTTCACACGCCTGTGGATAGCCTTGAGCATACAGACAGCCCAGCTGGCATTGCCTACCTGGCATTTATCTGCTTATTTATAAAGCTAGTAGTGCTTCTGCAAAGAAATGGGAGACGGGTTGCAGCTGTACACTCTGGGACATGCTTCAGGTGTATTTGACAGGGAACACGGCCAATCGCCAGAAGCAGGGAGCTGATTTTATCCAGGTACGGGTAGTCCTTGCTTAACAATCCATGTGGGGACTGAAATTTCCATTACTGGTGGTCCTCAACTTACAACAGTTCATTTAGTGACTGTTCGAAGTTACAACGGCATTGAAAAAAGTGACTTACGTCCATTTTTCACACTGACGACCGTTGCAACATCCCCAGGGTCCCATGGTTTGCATTCGGATGCCTGGCAACCGCTTCATATTTAGGACGGTCGCAGTGTCCCGGGGTCATGTGATCCCCTTTTGCAACCTTCTGACAAGCAAAAGTTAACAAACATGGCAAGAAAACTTGTAAAATGGGGCGAGGCTCACTTAACCAATTTCTCACTTAGCAACATCAATTCTGGACTCAATTGTGGCTGTAAGTCGAGGACTTGCCTGTACTAAGGAAAGCAATTGTTAGAGGAAACATCACATGACCGCGCTACTTAGTGATGGCGGTTCTAGCAGTTGCAGGAATGTCCTGTCACTAGGCCATGATCCCAGACTTCTCCTGGCTTGCCCTGCCCTGCTCACCTCTGCTTCACCTCCACTTACTCACCTGCCGCCATGTCTGCCCTTTGGATCACCTGGCCCCTCCCCCTCCTTTCCCAGAAGAGCCAGCATCTGCCCCTTCAGCCAGGTGCCCCTCGTCCACAGTGGGAAGAAAACAGAAGGTCAGCTGGGGGTGGTGGGCAGGTGGGGATGGGATGGCTGAAGGAAGCTGAAGCATAAGCTGGAGTGGTAAATGTGGGTGGGCTGCTTGAATTCTGATTAATTCTGAATTCTGCAACAGCCGTAGCTTTGAAGACTGGCTTTAACTTCCGTTTCCTCAGCCCCATCGTAACTTCACAAGGTTGTTCAACGAAAGGCTGTTAAGCAGAGACTTACTTTCTTTCTGTCATGCTTGGGATGGGTGCTGGGGGTTGTTCAACTGCTTCATAAAGAAATTGCAAATTTTCAGGAAGGAAAGGGGTAGCTGCCACATACTAATGCCAGTAACAGGATGGTGCTTGGATTAAAAATCAATGTTGCATGAGGGTGCTTAGCGCTGGGAAAGGTCGCTAAAAAGGGTGGGATAGATGTCTATGTCAGGGGTAGGCAACCTTGGCTCTTTTATGACTCGTGGACTTCAACTCCCAGAATTCCTGAGCCAGCATGGCTCAGCTTGGAAACCTCTCCCTTTCCCCTCAGCACGGCTGGCTCAGGAATTCTGGGAGTTGAAGTCCACGAGTCATAAAAGAGCCAAGCTTGCCTACCCCTGGTATGTAAAGGGGAGAGAGAGAGAGATCTTTACATAGAAATGGAGACTTGAAAAATAGAAGGGATGAACAGATTAAGAATTAAACGGTTTTGTTTAAGAGGAAGAACTTTATTTTATAATGTGCAAAGGACAATCTTCAGGATTAAATGCAGAGGAAGAAGGGTAGATAGAGAGTATTAGGTAAATGAGAATAGACTGCCACGGAATTGTTATGGAGAAGAAAATTTGAATTAAGAAACCAAAAGGAAAGGAAATTGCTAAGAGAGCGATCAAAACTACGACTTACGACCACAATTGAGCCCAAAATTTATGTTGTTTAGTGAGACATTTATTAAGTGAGTTTTGCCCCATTTTATTTTATTTCACCTATGGTGTAAGGTGAATCACTTCAGTTGTGAAGTTAGTAACACGGTTGTTAAGTGAATCCGGCTTCCCCATTGACTTTGCTTGTCAGAAGCTCACAAAAGGGGATCACGTGATTCCTCTGCACACTGCAACGGTCATAAGTATGAACCTGTTGCCAAGTGTTTGAATTTTGATCACATGACTATGGCGAAACTGCAATGATCGTAAGTGAGGAAAACGGTCAAAAGTCACTTTTTTCAGTGCCATTGTAACTTTGAACAATCACTAAATGACCTGTTGTAAGTCGAGGACGACCCATATATCATGAAGGGGGTCAAAGAAGAGCGGGCAAATTTTCATTCCTCTGTATTGAAGGCAGCAGGAAAAACTGTTGGGTGAGATCAAAGAAGAGATAAAACAGAAATGTCACTGAAGAAAAATGATGATATAAATTTCAGTTTAGAAATAGGATTGTGTTCAAAAGAGGAAAATATTGTATAGCAAGATATTTTTAATTGTAATATTAAGAGCCTTGCATGGGCTACTGTCATTACTGTAGATTAGGGAACATGGACATTCCAGACTGTGGCATGTACATTTCCTTCCTTCCTTCCTTCCTTCCTTCCTTCCTTCCTTCCTTCCTTCCTTCCTTCCTTCCTTCCTTCCTTCCTTCCTTCCTTCCTTCCTTCCTGCAATTATATATTATTTAACTATCTGTACCCGGCCACGCATTGCTGTGGCTCAGTCTGGTTAAATGGAAAAGAAAGAAAAGAGAAAGCACACGTTTGTGTTGCTTTTACATCCAACAGATGGCGCTGTTTTTCAAAACATGTTTTTACCTGTCACAGGTGTGACATCTATATAATAGTAGGTATATAAAAACACGCGCGTATTCAAATGCAACGTTGTGTCAAAATTTCAAAGCAATCGGTGAAGAACTTTCGGAGATTTAAGATTTTGAACAAACGAACATTTACATTTTATATAGATTATTGATTAAATTATTATTTATTTTAAATTATTTATGAAAGACATCAGCATAGACCCCAAGTTGAGGTCAGGTCATGTGAAGGTGTCAAGAGTATATGTTGGCTGGATTTATTTATTTATTTGCAACCTCATGAACCAAGTGCATTTCTGTTATAGTAATGAACACAGAGGACGTGGCTGTCTGAGGTATTTTGCAATTGGTTGCATATCTGTCATTTCTAAAGTCTTGTGTAAGTTAGATGTTTCGCTTATAGAATATCACAACTTGTGTCAGGAACTGGGCTGCAAACAGTCTCCTAAAGCAACAGAGAGGCGTGTAACAGTTAAGTACAGGTAGTCCTTGAGGTATGACAGGTCATTTAACGGCTGTCTGAAGTTACAACAGACACCTCCACAAAAGCTGCATACAACCCCGTTTCAATGTCACCTGCCTACAGCAGAAGTCCCCAACCTTTTTCGGTTGGTGGACCGGAGAGAAAGGGAAGGGAAAGCGTTTTACATGCATGTGCACGCAAACGGGACAGCGAGCATGTGCGTGACACAAACGAGGTGGCGCTATTGCCCACATGACACTTGCTAGCCCTGCCCCATTTTTTGCCACACGGGTGCTAGCACCGCCCCATTTTTGCTGTGTGGAGCCCCGTTTAGGCCATGCGGTGACCCGTTTTCACTGCACGGAGCCCTGTTTAGGCCACATGTGACCCATTTTTGCCATATGGCGCCCCGTTTCTGCCACACGGTGCCCTGTTTGGGCTGTCCAGTGTTCTGTCTAGGCCACGCAGCATCCTGTTTAGGCCATGCGGTGCTCCATTTAGGCCGCGCGGTGACTCCTTTAGTCCTCACAGCCGCTAGCACAAGTGGGGATGAGTGGGCACACACATGTGCGTGCACTGGCCAACCTGTCCCATAGTCCAGTGGCCAGCAGGCCATGGCCCAGTAGTGGGCCAGGGCCCACAGGTTGGGGACCCCTGGCCTACAGAACCGCCACAGTCATTTGCCCTTGTAACCAACTTCAGAGACAGATGCTGCAGCGCCCCTAACCACCTATTTCCCCCCCCACACACATCCTGTCCCATCGGGTCCCCACAGGCACTCGGTCTGCTTTGCTGCCCCACTGGGTTCCACATAGTCCTCCCTCCCACCGGTCACTGTTTGGACACTTATTTTATGAAGATATCCAGAGCTCAGGAAGTCAGGGTAGGGAAAGAGGACAGGAGGCTCCATTGCTGGACCAGGTGGCTCAGTCCAGGAGAACAAATCTAGCCGGCTCTCCTTTCATTGCTAGTCTTAGCTTTACGCTAGTGCTGCTCACCCTGGGGGAGGTAAGAAGAGGTCCTGCCGGTTCTCCTTCCTCACTAGCCTTGGCCTCCCCAGCATGAGCTGCGCTGGCTTTTCACTAGCACTGCTCACCTGGGGGAGATCAGGCGACTGCTAGTCAGCAGAAGAAAGCGTTCACTTAACAATCATCCCGACAGCAGGCTCCATTGCTGTCATAACTCAAGGACTATCTGCCATATTCCATCTTCACAGTTCTCTAATGCACACTTTGGCTGCTGTAGACTTCGGGGGTGAAGAAGGCAGAAAATAAAAGGATGAGGGATACCTGCCTCCTCCAGAATTCCATAGACGATTATTGTGCTGTTGTGTTTGCAGGGTTGTTGGAGAACCAGTTGCCTGACCAGGAAGCAAAGTGCTGTGATGTGCAGTGGGACTCCTGTGATCCCCAGCCGGACCGCAGCTACAACACCTCCACCAAATCCACAGAGTCAGAGTCATCCCACAGCCCACGCCAGGACGCCCACCACCACCATCACCACCAGCAGCAGCAACAACAGCAGCAGCAGCAGCAGCAACAGCAGCAGCGGCAACACTATCATCTGTATTACCATCACCACCAGTACCCACACCCGTCTCTGCTGCCGGTCTCTGCAGGGTCTCGCCTCAGCCACAGCAAAATCCGGCTCTGCGTCCTGGTCCTTATGCTCCTGCACACCATGGTGTCCTTCTCCAGTGTGCACAGCAGCGAAGGGTTGAACCTGGAGGTCCTTCCCGCCGTGGAGGAGAGCATCGCGAGAGACGAGTGACCGAGTGCAAGAGAGCAGCTCCTCAGGCAAAAAGAACGAATGGAAAAGAAAAGGCGCCTGTGGGGGGAGGGGGCATTTCTTATACCTCTTTGGGGGGCACCGGTTGGGTGACATGCACAGTCCCACCCCCCACGTGGAAACCCCCAGCAAGAGCAACTCCTTGCAGGCCCGCCCTGGGACGCCTAGAGGGCTGTGTGGGAACACAACCTCCGGGCGGGCTCCATGAGCCTCTGGCCTGAAGCTGCAGGAGCCAGGCAGGGAGGGAGCAGAAGGGAAAGTGGAGCAGGTGGCCCCCTGGGAAGGCCAGTGCAAGGCCCCCGGGAGTGACCCCTGCTGCTCCTGCCAACACACATCCTGGGTAAGGTTCCTGGCTGGGATGTTTCCACTTCAGAGTGAGTAACTGTCCTGTGGCAATGGCAGAAGTACCTTAGCCAAGATCCCTTCCAAGTCCTATGTGTGGCCCAACCTAGGCAACCCAGGGGTGAAGACAGGGTTCTTTCCTTCCCTGTTTCTTAGACCTCTCTGGCCCCTTCCCCCCCCCCCTTTCTGTGGCCAAGAGCTGCCAGAAGTGCTGAAAGGACCATCCTAGGGTCCAGGATAAGTCAGCAGCAGCTTGTGCAGTCTGGAGTCCCATGTTCCCAGAAGGGCTGAATTCCTTCACTGTCTGCCTATCATCTGTGTAAGATGTCCTCAAACAGAGGAAATGCTGTATTTGCCTGAAAGAAAGACCAGGCTTTTCTCCAAACTTTCAAAATTGGAGGGTCGTCTTAGATTTGTTGAGACTATGCCAATAGAAGCAGTTTCTTTTCTGTTCTTTTTTTACTGAGTTAGTTAGTTAGTTTTGCAGGAGAGGGGGGGGGGTATCTGCCATGCTGGCTCAGGAATTCTGGGAGTTGAAGTCCATAATCATAAAAAAGGGGCCATGGTTCCCCACCTCCGCTCTGAGAGGTAGACATGCTGTCTTTCGCACAATGGTGGGAAGTTAGAAATGCCTGCCTCCTCCTTTCTAGCACCCGCACAAGGAGATTATAGTTGGCTTGAGATTAATTCCAAGTGGAGCCAGAATGTCCAAGCAAACACCTCTGAATATGCCCACAATTTATTTCCTGTGAGAAAGACTAGCCAAGACACTTTTATTTTTTCCCCCATTTTTTGTCAATTGGTAGGCTTGCCTTGGCTCTTCATATAATCTCATTAACTGACTCAAGTCCAGTCCTCGCAACCAGTTCCTGATTCTTTACCGATACTGAAGGCCTGAGCTTATTCCCAACTCAATGAACCCTCTACCAAAGCACTACCATGTTTGGATCCCCGTTCATTTCTCAGTTTGAATTTGCCCCTACAGTCTCCCCAAATATGCCCATGGGAAAAATGGTTCTATGCAGACACAACTCAGGCAGACTATGAAATGTTTCTGATATCCAAAAATTCTCTATCTGAAAGTTAAATTTTCATTCAAGGAAATAGGAAGACTCTTGAGAGACTCTTGATATGGAAGTATCTCTCTGTCTCTCTCTGGCTTTTTTAATCTTATATTAAAGAACCAGTTTTTTCCTCAGATCTCTCACTAAGGCCCTCACTCTCAGAAATGTGATAGCGTCCATCAGCAGTTGGCATGTTCCTATCATGGAGAAAGAAGAATTCATGACAGCAACGAGGGGTATAAACAAGAGTGAGAAAAATGAGCAGCTCTTGATAGGTGATTTGTACCGACAGGAGAGAATATTTGTAGCTCAGGACTGAACTGTGGGGTCCTTGGTGCTCTCTGAGCTTGGTTGTTTTCTTGCAGACGTTTCATTACCCAACTAGGTAACGTCATCAGTGCACTGATATCAGTGCATGAAAAGTCTGCAAGAAAGCAACCAGACTCAGAGAGCATCAAGGATCTCACAGGGGTTTGTGTTGGTCTAAAATGGACTCATTTAGAGCGCATTTAGGTTGTAAAAAATTAACCCTGGTTCTTGGCTTCTCTGTAATGTCTGACAAATCTTGAAGTGGAATTATTTTAATAATTCCAGAAATCACATTCATTACAGATTTTTGTGCTCTCTGGTTATATGTTGGGCCACATTCCTTCCTCCTTAAAGAAAAGCTACTTTCTGTATGGCTGGAATTGAATTGTCATAGTAGATCACAGGAATCTATTGTATCTATTCATTCATTATCAAAGAGGGAACCAACCTGTTGGATAATTCCGAAGTCTGAGCTTTAGAACCTTTTGGGAGATACTCATCCATCCCAAATTTATGATCAAAGTCCCAAATGCCCAAAGACAGCAGTTTTCTTAATCCCAGGCCCTGCTGGATACTATGCAACATGAAAACAGAAGTGCATTTTGATCCAATCCACACAGTACATCTGCCTCAAGTATAAGCTCCCCCCTTTCTCTTTCTCTCAGATTAAATTTGCCTCTTTTGAGGAGGAGGAGGAGGAGGAGGAGGAGGGTGATGATGATAAGAAAGGGGTGATGTTGATCACTCCAAACCAGTGTATGCGTTCCAGAGGATTTCCAGGTAAGGACTATTCCCAGCCCTTTAACTAGGTGCCAGGGATTGAAGTGCCTGGACCTTATACTTGCAAATGCGTCCCCCCCCACCTGTTTTGGTCCTTCTTGATGACATAATTTCTATACGAAATTGCTATCATTTACAGTATGTAGTTGAGTTCATGATAAGACACAATCTATTTTTGAAACCATATTTTGCATCGTGCCTGAAAAGGTGGCAGAGCACAGTGAGATCAAAAGAAGGCATAGTTTTCAATCCTAGTTAAAACATACGGAAAACAATTAAAGTTCAGTTTCTGAAGCAACAACCAGCTTCGTCCTTTAGAACAGAGGTCCCCAACCTTTTGGGCACCAGGGACCGGTTCTGTGGAGAGAGGTTTTTCCGTGGACCGGAGGGTGCGTGGTTTTGTGTGCTGCCTGCATCCCACGAATGGGGCTTTGCTTGTTTGTGCGGACCGGTTGCTGGCATGCCACGGCCCGCTACCGGTCCATGGGCCAGGGGTTGGGGACCCCTGCTTTAGAATGACTTCCTTTGCCATCTGGAATTGCTATTCCTGATGGAGGTGGCCAATAGATTGCCTGAGTGAAAAGACTCAGGATCCAGCAGTATATTCATTATTGAATTATAATCTCTGTGTTACCTTTAATCACCCAGGACTCATAAGAAATGACCTACCTCTCTGCCTCAGGAAGTGGCGGATGGACCTTTGATCTCTTTATAGACGAGGGCAAATAATGAAATGAATCCATAGAAAATGTAGTTAATACAGTGTTAGCTTTAGCAGCCTCCGATTGATTGAACCAACAGAATTAAACCCATTGAGGAGTATTGTAGGATGAAAGCAAAAAGGAACAGATATTGCTGCATTTGTGTTACTGACTCCAACAACAGTTTCTATTGCTGATTATTCTGAATTGGATCCCAAAAGATTGTCATTACCTTTCACATTCCTGAAAGACTATTATAAATGTTGTTGGCTAACAACTGAACTGGGTAGGTTTTCTGCAGCAGGAGGAATGGGCAGCCTGTTTGAAAGCTTTGAGCTCAGAGAGATTCTTGCTATCTCTTGCGCAGTTCGTTCTTTATGAGAAAAGAAAGGTTTCGGTTCTACACAATTCACACATCATTTTCTATATAGACCGCTCCCCACACAGATTTTTAGGTGGAGAAAGTTTGTACGGAAGTGACACTTATCAGGGATCATCAGACTTTTTGGCCTGGTGGACCCTACTGGAGTTTTTAAGACATATTTTTGGAAAAAGGATTGAGTGGTTGTAGATCTTAAAATAGTTGCATCTGGAATGAGACCAAATATAAAGCACTAATTTATCAGCATGTTACTGTCTCCTCCTGCTCGTGGGCGCCAAGGAAGGTGTCTCCTGACATGGATTTGCAAGCAGCATTTTGGAGACTCCAGGCAGAAACTTCTAAAAGAACAAATACAGGAGCAAGAGAAGTTGAATGAGGGAATGAACACAGTTGAGATTTGCTTGCGGCCCCTGCTTGTTGGACCCCAGATTCACAAATAGTACAAGAAGATCAAATGGAGCATATGCCCTTGGAAGACAAATGAATATTCTGGTCTCATGCATCCTGTTAAACCCTCATCTTTGCTGTTGGAAGAATCAATGACCAAATATCACTTTTCTTTTAAATATTAAATTTTGTAGATCGGTGTTTCTCAACCTTGGCAGCTCTTAAGATGTGTGGACTTCAACTACCAGAATTCAGGGAATTGAAGTCCATCTTAAAGTTGTCAAGGTTGAGAAAGCGCTGCTGTAGATAATTTCTAAGGTGTCACGTCACATGAAAATAACATCTGCTGATAGGTGCTCCATCAGAAATAATGATCCTGCAGGGTTTTGAGAGCATCTGAGAATCAGATCCACAGATTTGATCACTAATCCATAGAACAGGTCCAAATCTGTTTATTTAAAATGCCTCTATGCCACGTATTAAAACTCTCAAGTGACATAGAAGCATTGAACACCTATCATTCCTTAAAAGATCAGAATAGCCACTAAATATGCAAAATATTACAAATTATCACAAGATGAATTCCAAAGTTCCTAAGAAAAAAGTTAGGTTTTAGATTCTTCCAAAACATTTTCCAGTACATGTAATTTTGTAGTTTCAAAATTAGTTCCTGGGGTTAGCCAGAGCAAACTAAGAAATCAGAAGATGTTTTTATTGAATAAATTGCCATTCTGCATTTTAGAACACCCAAATTATTCATAGAACATAGAGTCCTAGAGTTGGAAGGGACCTTGGAGGTCTTCTAGTCTAAGACCCTGCTTGAGCAAGAGACTCTATACCAAATGGTTGTCCAGTCTCTTCTTGAAAAGCTCTGGTGATGGAGCACCCACTACTTCTGGAGGCTAGCATTCTACTGGTTAATTGTTCTCACGGTTAGGAAGTTTTTCCTTAGTTTCAGGTTGCTTCTCTCCTTGATTAATTTCCATCCGTTGCTTGTCCTGCCTTCTGGTGCTTTGG